AATTCATGTGGGATGCACATGCATTGCCATGATGACATGCATTGGATAACAACTCAGGGGTGACCAAGAGCAATGACTCATCATGGATAAACATGGGATTGGAAGTGATCATCAGATATATATATGCATATGTTTATGCACACAGTAGCATACAATACAAGCATTCAAGGAGTTACATGACTGTGCAGTTGAGCTTGCAAGAAGCTCCGATCTGTCGCATTTCACTTGTCATCTTCAACTGATTAAAAGTCTGAAGCTCTACTGACTGAGGCAACAGGGAACCCTTCATCGCCATGACAGACAACACCGAAATACAAGCAGGTGCAAGTAAAGCCAAAGGAGGTAGAAAGGGTAAAGTTCCTCAACTGCGAGTTCCCAATAATGACACCACCAATGAAACTGAAAATGAAGTGACCGATGAAGAAACCGATTCCAATCCTGATCAAAACAGCAGCAGCAAATGATACAACTTTTGCACTCTGGCGAAGCTCCTCAAGCCGGTGCCCAAGTTAACATCACAAAGCTACTATAGTTGGAATGTCCACATCAAGTCTTTCCTTCAATCTGTTCCCCATGCCATGAAACACCTTGAGGGAACATATGACAAAAACCACCCCAAGTGGAATCATGTATTCAATGATGCCCTCATGAATGCAGTATGTGGCACTATCAACACCACTGGAGAACACAACATCAACTACCTAATCCTTGACATCATTAGGGAATATCACACTTTCCACCAGATCTGGAAGAAGATTGAAAATGGATTAACCAATGAGGCCATCATAACCTCATGTCGAATCGCCCTCATAGCCCAGCTAGGCAAGCTCAGAATGTACAATTCTGACATCCAGAAGCTCATCCAGGAAATTAGGACAATCCAGATGGAGAGCAGCTTACTGGGAAAACCATTTGCAGATGACACCTTGTTCTCAACCCTACAGAAGTGCACTATCCGCCACCCTGTGTATAAAGAAACAGTTGCCACTATCAGTCAACTCACTTTCAATGCACTCGCTACAACCCTAACCATCTGACAATCAGTGGTTGAGAATTATCCCGCCCAAAAGATTGACCCTCGCCAGGCTAGTGCCAGAGTCACTGGCAGCGACAACCAAGAGGAACCAGCTGCGAAGGACGAAGACAATGCCAACGCCAAAGTTAGTGTCTGACCTCGAAAGCTCCAGTGCTGGGTCTGCAAGCGACTGGGACATGGGATTGGCCAGTGTGACGCTATGGTAACCATCCTGGAGAATTCTCCCCTAGCCAAAACCAAATAGGAACCATGGTGCTCCTTCACACCGAGTTGGCAGAGGCCCCCTGGCTCTAAAAGAGCCCCTTACTGGATCTTAGACTCAGGGGCCAGTTATCATATGGTTAATATCTACAGTATGCTCATCAATCCTAAAACTTGCCAAAAACATGTATTCACAGCTGGAAGTGAAGTTTTAGAAGCAACAGCTATTGGAGATGCCAGCATATCAACAAGTAACGGAGATGTACTACTCCATCATGTACTATATGTTAGGCACCTCAATATTAACCTTTTGTCAACCAACTCGTTAACAGACGAAGGAGCACAAGTGACATTGGATTCCACTGGTGGGCAAATACACCTAGCGAACGGTATGCTACTCAAGATGACCAAGAATCACGAGTGAGGACTTTTAGAGTTCCGAGGTGATCCATGGCAAGAGAATGCAATGATCACATCAACATCATTATTTGAGGGTGTTAATGAAGATTTCAAGCAGATAGAAAGCAAAACCAGGATATCTAAGCAACAACTATGGCATGAGCACCTAGGGCACCCAGGTCGAGATAAGACAAGGGCCATTACCAACCTTTTAAAGGATAAGAACATGGCTGAATTGGATCTGGATACGACCCAAACATGTGAGCAATGCATCCGATCCAAGAGTACGACAGCTCGAATGGGACAAGGTAGTGGTGAGAAATCCATCTCCCCACTTGACCTCATCCACATCGACTTGATAGTCGATTCCTCACATGCAGCAGAATATACATGCACACTGGTATTGGTTGATGACCATAGCAAGTACACATATGTGCAGCCCTTATTATGGAAGAGCCATGCATTCTCCAAACTCCAAGCTATAGTATTGTACCTTGAAACACAGATGGGAAAGAGACTGAAAGCCATATGATCAGACCAAGGAATGGAGTGGCGAAGCAATGATGCACTTGACTGGGTGTACGAAAAAGGTATAGAATGGCAGATGACAGTTGGGTACAACAGCAAGCAAAATGGATGCATGGAAAGAATGAACAGAAGTCTAGGAGAAAAGATGAGGATGCTACTCATGCAGAGGAAACTGCTGAGAAGCTTCTGGCCATATGTGATCCGGGCTGCGGCATTCAAAATAAATCTCACACCCAATGTTGATGGTGAGTTCCTGTACCAAGTCATGTTTGGGAAATCACTGGAGTGGCTCATAAAGTTCTTACGGGTTTTTGGATGCCTAGCATGGGTTAACATCCCTAAAGTTAAAAGAGACAGCAAGAGGTTGGACCAATGAGCAGTGGCATCCATATTCCTGGGATACAGTTTGGAAAGAAGAGGGTGGCTCTTCTATAGTCCAGACTATAATCCAAACATATTCTGGAGCAACTCTGTGAAGTTCATGGAAGACAAGTGCTGGGCTGACAGAACAGAATGGCACCCAACAAGAATACAGTTGCCACCAGCGCTAGCAGATGAGGCAGACCTCAGTGACTTAAGGTACACAAACAAAAATCTATTCGATGAAAGGGAAAGAGAGCCCCATGATGAGCATTTGGATATGAAGACAATCGATGAACCAAATGATGAAAAGGACTCCATTGAGGATATGGCGAAACATACAAAGAATGTGACCAACTCTGAAATACAGGCCGGCGACCCAATTCTCGGACTCACGGCAATGAACCATGATAGGCAGAGGAACCTGGATCTGACAGTAAGTGAAGCTTTATCCGGAGAAGACAAGCAGCATTGGAAAGAAGCAATGTGTAAGGAGCTGGATGGACTCAGAGCCATGGGCACATGGGAAATCGCTGACCTTCTGAAGGGGATGAATGCTGTTGACACATGTTGGGTTTTAAAAATCAAGACAGATGCAGATCTGATCCCAACGAAATTCAAAGCGAGGCTGGTAGCTCGAGGGTTTACACAAAGACAAGGAATTGATTATATGGAGGTGTTTGCACCTGTGGCACCTATCCAATCTATCTGAGGAGTCTTAGCCATAGCAACCATCCAAGATTGGGAGGTAGACTGCATTGATGTCAAGCAAGCATATCTGAATTCGATGCTACACCACGACGTGTTCTTGAAGCCACTGATTGGGACCAAGATCCCTCCAGGAAAGCACTTAAAGTTAATCAAGGGACTGTACAGGCTAAAACAATCAGGCAGAGAATGGAACTTGGAGTTGGACTCACATTTGCGAAGCATGGGTTTTTACTGCATGCCAAGTGCACCTTGTCTGTACTCAAGAGGGACCAGGAATAATCTAACTATTATTACAGCATACGTGGATGACATGCTTATAGCATCCCCCAGCTGAAAGGAGATAGATTGAACTAAGAAGGAGATAATGGCTAAATGGGGAACAGAAGATAATGGGCCAGTGAGAGAGTTTCTGGGTGTACACATAAACCGAAACAGGGCAGAAAGGAGGATGTCCCTTGACTTATCAGCCTACATAAGAGCCATGGTGAACAAGTGGTTACAAGCGACCAGTCAGAAGTCCTGGGTACCAATGCAAGGAATAGCGAGTTTGACTGGAGAAGACAAATGTAACCCAGTAGAAGCCAAGCGATACCAGGAGTTAGTTGGACAACTACTATGGGTCTCGAATACCACACGCCTGGATATATCATTCACAGTAGGGATACTGGCAAGATACATGTCAAACCCGACCAATGGGGCATGGAGGGCAGCCATCCACCTACTTAAGTACCTGAACCAAACCAGTGAGTATAAACTCATATTTGGAGACTGATCGAACAAGCATTCAGGACATGCAGTCATTACATACATGGATGCAAATTGGGCATCAGACCCAACAAACAGACAAAGGAGTACCTCAGGGGCCATAACATATGTACATGGGTGTCCCATCAGCTGGAAATCACACGTCCAAAAGTGCGTGGCATTATCAGCTGTGGAAGCTGAATTTGTCACTGCCTCAGAGGCAGCAAGAGAAGCACTATTCTTCTCCTATCTCCTCAGGGATCTAGAGGTGGGAACGATCCAGCCAACCTTACGTACTGACAGTCAAGGATGTATTCAAGTGAGTAAGGACCCAGCAAAGCATTGGAAACTGAAGCATATAGATACCAGGTACCACTTTGTTAGGGACCACGTACAGGATGGGGAAATAGCAATCGAATTTGTTGGAACAGTGAATAACGTGGCAGACATCTTAATGAAGCCACTAAAAGGGTTGGCAACATCTCAGCTAGCACAGTTGTTGGGACTCGAGATGCTGTCGAAGGGGGGAGTTGAAGATGCGTCAGCACCACAATGGGATAACAGGGTCCACAGAGCACAAGCAAGACCTAAATGAATGTCTAATGGGAAAGGCTGCACACAGTTGGAAATTCATGTGGGATGCACACACGTTGCCATGATGACATGCATTGGATAACAACTCAGGGGTGACCAAGAGCGATGACTCATCATGGATAAACGTGGGATTGGAAGTGATCATCAGATATATATATGCATATGTTTATGCACACAGTAGCATACAATACAAGCATTCAAGGAGTTATACGACTGTGCAGTTGAGCTTGCAAGAAGCTCCGATCTGTCGCATTTCACTTGTCATCTTCAACTGCCTGACTGTGGCCTCTAGAGCGGTGTATCTAATTTCAACTGACACACATCTCTAACTTTCGCTCCCTCTTCCTTGTCTTGCTACACCACATCCATCATTCACCCTTGCCCTCGACCTCTTCCCTTTTCCTTTCAGCGAGGCTCAGCAGCGACGATGGCGGAGAAGTTCTCAAAATTCCGCGACCCAGGAACAGGCATTCAAGTGTTCCTCACACCCGTTGCCGCTTCTACCTCGTCTTGTTCCTCCCTCTCACCCTCTTCGTTGGGACCGGTCGGCTTGATCCTCATTCCGATCTTTGTCCTTCTCGGCCTTGTTCGTGCTCTGATTGGCGGGCTGTTTTGGGCCTTGTATCTGGTCAGTGGCAGTGCAGGCCTACTGAGGGTAGTATTGTGGACATTCGGATTCATCAGTTTGCCTGTCCACACCCTTTCTCTGGGGGCCAGTGGAAGAAAGACAAAAAGTGCAGTGGCAGGACAAAGCTCAGTGGTGGCAGTAAAGAAAGGCGATCTCGTTCTGGCAAATCATTCCTCTTGGATCGATCTTCTTATTCTATCCTACCTGCACCCTGGAGTCAAGTTCGTAGTGCCAGTCATTGCGGATAGCGATCGACAACAAGCTCAACCAGCAAAACAGGCAGGGCAAGCATCGAGGAGAACTGCCAAAAAGAATTCCATGTCTCCAAATACCCGCATGGTCGCTCCTACCTCTCCCTTAACTCTCTCTTCAGCGACTGTCGAGATTGCTATTCTCGGATACGCAGTGCTGCCCCTCACCTCAGCAATCTCGTTCGTGGGCCACTTACCCCCATCGACATGCCAAATCTCCAGCACTATTCATCCGGATCTCGAGAGCGCACTCAAGTCTTCTTCGACCGCCTTGGTGGTGTTTCCGGAGGTAGTAACAAGTAACAACCGCGCCCTCCTAACCTGCTCCCTGCCCAGCACATCGCCTCCATCTGCAAAAACTTGCGTCGTAACAACAATCAAATACAGCCCTGCAAGCTCGACATCAACCACCTCGGTCTACTCGGTTCCCACCTGGAAACTCTCTCACCTCTTTAACATGCTCTTGCTATCCTCGCCCTATCGCAGCGTTGCGGTGCGACAAGCAGTGTTGCCCAGGCAGAGCGCCGAGGACTGGAGCGAACAAGTGGCTGGGATCATGTCGACCATCGCTAGACTCAAACGAACCGGTTTGGGTTGGGGCAGCAAGAAGGAGTTCCTTTCGATCGCCAACGCACAAAGTAAGAGCTTATAGCACGCTTGGCACAGAATCGATGAAAGCGTTGCCAATACAATGTCTCTTGAACGCATGTGGATCTTTGCGTCTCTAATAGGTATTGAGTCCCGTACGTCCGCTACACTCGAGATCGCGACGCCAACGATCGATACGAGTTGCCATCCAACCAGTAAGCAGATGCGTTTCTTTTGGCTTAGCGATGCCGATACGCAAGAAATCCGAGGTGTAGCGGCATTTACCCCAGTCACCACCGTCGCTCCTTCTATCGCCTGTCCAAGTCTGCCCGCTCTTTCCGTTGGGTCGTTGGCCTTGGCCCTTGCTCCACTGCCAAAGCAAACAGTCCTGATTCATCCTACACAGCTTCTGACACTCGTTCGCAGAGCTTGTGACCTCATCCCAGGTCTCTGAATCCCAATTTTCGATGGCCTGCCAACCCTTGACTGCCACCTCACCCACCTCAGGCTCGCCTTCGCTGAGCTTGTTGTCTTGGTCCCATCTGGCAACATCTTGCATCGCTTTACGGAGGAATTCGGGTTGGAACTCGTCCCAGATGTCTCCCCATCGTATCGTGTCGCCTTTTTGCAGCCTTGGTTCGATTCGACGTTGGAAGTCGTAAAGATGCGCAGTGTCGGCTGGTGTAACGTGATGCAAGGTCAGGATGGGTTCGCACCAGTTTCTTCTGTCGAACTTCAATATTCGAGGTGGATCGCTGTTGAATCTTTGTCCTCCCTCGGGGCTTAACTCTGTCAGAGTAACCTTGGGAGCATCGTATAGGGACTTGGATAGGAGGGCGTCACCAAAAGCGCTTTTCAGGATCAGCTCATCTTGATGATGTTCGAAATCCTCATCACTGCCAAAACTGGCCTGCATAATGGCTTTGGACAAGACAATGCCACTTCCACCATGCGTAAACACTGTACTCTTGCCATCGTAATCACACCAGCTCGGATGACCAATCATCAACTGTTTCCTTTCATCCAATCCAGCCAACCACTTGACAAGCTCGTTATAGAAAAGAAACGTATCCGCTTCAACCATCACATACCATTTCTTCCCAGGCCACATCCTCCAGGCTTGGGCAAAAGTCGGAAGAAACTTGTACTTATCCAGCTTCCAACCTCCATCTTTGTCCGACATGGCACGCAGATCTTGATTCGAGCTGATCAACGCAGTGAGTTCCGAATGGAGTTGGGAGAATTCTTGGGTAGAGGTTATCGTGCTGGATAGGTTGGAGAGTGCGTCGAAAAATGTAATGTTGTGTGAGGCAAGCGTTAGTGGATAGTCGGACGAGTAGAGATGGTTGGGTATGTATAGTGAACAAACCCGTTGTTCGGCGAGATGTGTTAGAAGACGAGAGTGAAGAGTTGCCGAACCGACTTTAGTGATGAGTACCAGATCGTCCTCCAGCCTATATCCCTTCTTTGGCGAGTTTGGCCTGATGAGATTGCTCGAACCAAGGCTACCGGTGTTATTGGGGGTGCGAGTAACAGCGGGTGCAGGTTTATCTTGGAGAAGCAGCATCATCGCGAGCAAAAGACATATCGAGAGTAGAATCACTGTTTTGCCTCGTTTTACAAACTCGACCAAGCCTGTTAAACCAGCCTGCTTCCTCCTTGGCCCATCTGTGTGATGATGAATCGGTAGAAAAGCATCTCGATCCGAGGCCTTTTCAGATAGTTCGACGGTATATGGTTCATCTCGAAACGAGAGCGGGGCTGATTGAAGAGGGGATGATTGAAGAGGGGACGAGACGATGGCACATGTTGCTGGCGGGGTGCGCGATGGACCTGCCTCTGCACCGTTATTGTCGGAAGTTGGGATAGGGCTGTATTCTGTGTGACTGCTTGGCATCTTGAAACTGCAAATCCCTTCGGTAGGACGGTTTGGGACGGAGGCAGAGAAGATGGAGGTGAGGAGAGCTAAGAGGGACAAGAGAAGATCCAAGGGAAGAGGATCCAAGGGAAGAGGGAGGGGAGAGGTATATCTATTCTTCTCATCAGGCGCCTCACACACACACAAGAGAGGAGAGCAGTGATCGCATCAAGTGCGGGAGCAACATCAAGCGCAATGTGGCTGTGTAGGTTGAGAGTGTAACCCCGACGGGAAGCAATCCATACTAGCAGCATGGCGACTCGCACAGAGAGAAGGATTGCAAGCAACCACATGCTTTCGCTCGGGCTCGGGCTCGGAGATCTAAATCCATCAAACCCCCCCCCTAACCCCCCCCTCCTATTAGCTTGCCACCAGTTACTCTACTTCTGTTGCATCAATCAGCTAGCTGCCTTAGCGTCCATAGTGGTATCGAAGCGTACAGCATGGATCGTTCTAAGATCCGTGCAAAGAGAGGGCGAATGCACAATGAACAAATGGGCGTCAGTAGAGCAGTCAGTGTTCTCGCTTAGAACTCATTCGTACACGTGCTGCCATGTTACATGGGCAGGTTATATGCCCGTTGTTGTAAGGCAAGTAGATTGCGGCAAGGAGGATGCAGAGGCAAGCTAGTTCAAGTTGGTCGTACAAAGCGATGATAGCAATCCGAACTCTCTCGTGCGGCATCTATTCGCACGAGAAGGCGCCTATTCGCACGAGAAAGTACACTTGTTTCAGTTGAAGTAGATGAAGCTACACAAAGCGTAGAGACTGCGGAGGTAGTGCTTACGGCTGAGTAAAAGGTTTGAACAACCGAGCATGGGCCGCATGTGTCACAACCTACTCAAGACAAATGCTTTGTTTTGCTCTACAGTTGATGCAGCTCTCTGCTGCTCCTCTTTTGTATATATATAGACTCCTTTTTCACTTCTCGCTCTCTCTCTCTCCCATTATCATCATCAAATCATATGAAAACTCCAACTGGCTCCCAACGTGGGGCTCAAACCCACAACATTCAGCACATCAAGAGTCTGATGCTTAGCACAATGCCACCATTGACAAGAGCAGGGCAGACTGGAAGAGATGATGATCAAGTGGCTGCAGCTGCAGGCAATGGTCAAGAGGAGGGTTGGCTCACACAGGTAGTTAGAATTTTACAGTTAGCAAACCTGGCACTGACAGCAGAGGAAGCAATAGTGCAGGTGATGGGTCTTGTCACCATTAGCAATCAAACCCCATGAGGAGAGACAGAAAAGATTCCCAAGGATGTCTCGAGCTCAATTGCCCATATTAAGAAACTTAGCAATAGCAACTGGCACACCTGGGAGCCTACCTTCATCAACTGTCTGCAACAAGTACACAATGCAAAGGAAATCCTGTATGGTGAGATAGCACTGGGAAGTGAGGGGTACAATGAGGACTTGGACAAGGCACTTGTAGGTCTTATCCACACCTCCTGTGATCACAGTCTGGAGAGCTGCATTGATACCTACACCATTAGGGGTGCAGATGAACATGTCCAACTTGGTAGTACACTATATGCTAAGCTCAAGAAGGTGCTAATGTTGAACGACGTGGTAAAATGAGCAGGCCTGCAGGACCACATCCATACCATACATCTGTACAATTGTGATGTTGTCAAGCTAGGCAAGGAACTGGACTCCATCTGGAATGATGCTGCATGACTTGGGAAACAACTTGATGAGGACCTTAAGAAATCCACCCTATACTGTTGCACAGCACAAGATTGGTTCTACACCAACTCTGTTGATGCTCTCAAGACAGCCAAACCAGATTGTAAGTATGATGAAGCCTACCACATGTTAGCAAAGAAGCAACAGGATGGTGAGGTCACTGGCCATATTAGAGGAGCAGCAAGGGTTGCCACAAGCATGGAACAAGGGAGCACCAACCAGGCAGAGCAAGGATCCAGGGGCAGGTGCGATCCTTGCAACCCCTCGGCCCCTCCAAAGTGCTACACTTGTGGAGGACCTAATCACATTGCTCAGAACTGCACAAACACCAACAACAACCACACACTGAGTATGGATGGACCCACCACCAATCCAGCACAAGAAGCAAGTCAGTAGGAACTTGGGTGCACCCTCCTAGTGATTGGCAGGGATGAGTGACCAACATCAGACACCTGGATCATCAATTTGGGTGCAACGCACCACATGGTGAATGATAAAAGAATGCTGCTCACCTTGATGTGCAAGGATGGTCAGATCTGTATGGCTGGAAATGAAAGGCTTCAAGTGAAGGCCATAGGAGACACCTCCCTTCAGGTTGGCAATGTAACCATTCAACTATTGGATGTGCTCTATGTGCTGAAACTTAATTCTAATTTATTATCAGTACAAGGCTTGATCAAGAATGGTGCACAGGTAACTTTTGATGAGTTTGGAACCATCATTAAGCAAAATGATGGCACACAAATACAATACAAGAGGAACAGAAGAAAAGGGCAGTTCGAAATGCAGGGAAAGGCACTAGCCCTGGAGTTGGAAGAGACACTCAATGACATCCCAGAGGACAACCAGAACACAGGAAAACTAGATAATGCCCCAGAGGGCAATAAGGACACAAAGCATCAAGACAGCTACCTGTGGCATGAGAGGTTCAGACACCCAGGATGAGACAAAACAAGACAAATCTGGGCTCATTACCTAGGTACCAATTGTCAGGGGTCTCGCGCCTGAAACCCAGGTCGGTCTGTCGAGATACTCGGTGACTATCAAACTGTGCAACAGCTATTGTCTCAGTATCAGTGACTATCAAGTTGCACAGTGACAGCAGGTGGCATTCATGGTATATACTATCGTAGGTTTCGGCTGACCTCTGTGGACACTCCATTCAGGGGTAGCTCGGCACGATCAATATCAATACTTTGGTTATGATGACACCAAGGTCTGGTGTGAGGGTTGATGATGATGAGGTTGATGTCGTTGGTGATAAGGTTGGTGAGTGTTGATGATAAGGAGGTTGATGGTGTTGGTGATAAGGTTGGTGGCATCAACACGAGTGTCCAGTGTGTTGACTTGATGCTTGAAGTGACCCCTGGACCGCAGTGGACTACTGCCTTCGGTTCTATCTTGATCAGGACCACTAACCTGCTATGGGTGCCTTCGGACGTCAGGTAGTGGTGATACAACACATGCACTATGATGAGGAGCAACCTTGATAGATTGCTGCTATGCTGACTGAAACTAATGTATACTTATGCTGAAGTGATAACTAGTTATATGGTGAGTAGAGTGGATGAGGATCCACTTGACCTATGATGATGAGAAAGCATGGTTATATACCTCTACTCAGCATCACCAGCGATGCTGCTCCTGCTCTCTCTCCAGAGAGTACCTTCTTCATCAAGTACTGCTCAGGGGCCTCTCCTGCTTGGCACCCCTGTGCCTCTTGAGCTGTGTCGACTCCTTCGACACTGCTCCTCCTCCTCATGACCTGGTGTCAACTCCTTCGACACTGCTCCTCCTCCTCATGACCTGATGTCGACTCCTTCGACACTGCTCCTCCTCCTCATGACCTGGTGTCGACTCCTTCGACACTGCTCCTCCTCCTTTGATCAGTGTCAGTTCCTTTGGCTCTTGTCTCTCGAGCCCCTGAGTGGTAACCATCTGCATGCTCCTTGAGCTTGGTCCTCTTCGTGGCTGTGCCTGCTCCTTGAGCTTGGTCCTCCTCGTGGCTGTGCTTGGCCCTCCTTTGCATGTGAGTCCATAGGAGTCCATGGTCTCCATGGAGACTGCACTACGACCATGCTCTCTACTGATCTCGACTAGATCTTCGATACCTGTGCTCCTTCCATATGAACCCGTGACCCTCCTGCTTCTTGAGCATCCAGGCCCATGACAGTTTGTAGAGCAATGCATGCCATCAGTGCATCACCCCACTGACATTTCCCTCGTCGTTGTCATCATCGTGCTCCTCCTCGTGATCGGGGTCCATGGGTTGCTGGTATGAGCTGAGGTCCATGGCCTCGGGGTCACCCGTCTCAGTGCTGCCTGTGTGGCCATCTCCTGAGTTGGTGGCCTCCTCGAAGGGGTCTGCTGTGGTGACCATAACCTTTGGTCCCATGGGTTGAGAGCTAAGAGGGTCTACCCTCCTGCTGGGGCAGTCTCTGGCCCAATGGCCGATACCCTTGCATACATGACAGGTATTGATACCTGATGGAGCAGGGCTTCCTTGCTTCGAGGTTTGGGTGGGTTGATGAGGAAGGGGTCGGTTAGTTGGTCTGTTTAGGTTTTGTGTAGTTGCTTGTGTAGTTGCTTGTGCTGGTGATCGAGCTGGATAAGGTTGAGTGGGTTGACAGATGGGGATTGAACTTTGAATTGGCCGAGACCCAGTTCTTAGTGGAGGTGACATGGCATTTGGGAGTGAGTGTCTAGTGGAGGACTGCTGTAGTAGCATCCTCTGTCGATCGATCTCCTCGACCTCTCGATACCACTCCCATCTCTTCCCAGGTGGATTCCTCTCGAACTTCTCCTGTATGCTACGAGTGAGACTACCTCTGAAGAGATCAATCACTAGCTCATTGTCATCTAGGTTGACCTGTCCTTCCAAGTCTCTGAACCGCTCTACATGACGTGTGGCGGCACCAGGAGCATCACTTGTGAGTCTGAGAGCCAACAGCTTGTTGTATGCCTCCATCCTAGCATTGCGTGGGTTGAACTGCTCTGACAGTCGCTCTGTGAAGTAGTGCCAATCATTGAACAACCTTCCTTCTCTAGCTCTATCAATACGGAGCTTGGAGGTCCACCACTCTCTTGCTGTCCCTTCCAGTTGAGCACCCATGTGATTGATCATCCTAGACTGCTCATACACCTGGTTGAACTTAAACCATGCTTCGGCTTCTAGAATGAAGATCTCCATGTCTCGGGGATTGAACTTTGGAAAGGGGGTGGCAATGGGCTTTGACCGGTTAAGCTCTGCCATGATGCTGGTATCCTCCTCGTGGTCCAGGGGGTAAG